TCTTGCCCTTGTAAATCTTGTACGGAAAGCGCAGTGAGGGCTCTTCGCGCATGGCGCGGACACCGGCTTCGTCGACGCACTCGAGGAAGAAGACGAGCGCTTGGTTGAACTTTTGCCGCTGAAAAAAGCTCCCGTCCGAGTACAGCGGGTACTCTTTCCGCTTGTCTTTGGACTGCGCCGTGAGCATCTTGGAGTAGCTACCTCGCGCGACGGGCGTGTGGCGTGCAAAGTTGAGGTTCGCGCGGCTCGCGACGGTCGCCAACAGCAGCGTGGCTTGGCCGAGCGCCGCGTTGATCTCGGCCCACTCGACGGGCTTGCTCGGGAGGCGCCCGAGCCGGAGACCGTTGATCGTGCCAAATGAGCCTTCGTGCCAAATGTGAAAGGTGTCGTTGAAGACGTTGTAGCGCTGGAGGCACCGGAGGACATCCGACGCATGGACCGCGAACGTCGACACGGACGACCGCTCTTCTTTCGTGCTCGTATGTAACAGCTGCACGGTCGCGCCTTGCTCAAACGAGTCGCGTTGCAAGCTCGCGAGCTCCGTCGCACACGACCAAATGAGCTCACGGTTCCGCAGCACGAGTGCGCTTTCGTCGTCCATGTACCGCAGCAAGTCGTCCAGTGCGCGCGCTTTGAGCTCGAGTTCGTCCAAGGTCAAGAGCTCGAGGTCCACGTCGTCCTCATCAAAATCGTCCATATTGGCGTCCTGCCACGTGAGGTGGCTCATTTTCGCCAGACCTTTCCGCCCGGGACGGGCCTTGATATGGCGTGCACGGCCCAGTGTGTCGTCGTCGTCGACTGCGTGCGCGAGCGACTCGAGGTACGTGTCGTACGACGCCTCGTCGGCCGCGAGCCGGCCCAGTTCTCTACACAGAGCACTGCGTTGAGATCTCATGGCGTCAAGTTGCGTCTTCTACGTGCGCAAGGTCGTCTGCAGCGCTTCGGCGCATGGATGGCACATGGGCGTCTTGAGCGACGAAAAGTGCAGGCTACAGACACGCAACTTGACCACCCCATTTCGGAAAAGATGCGCACCTGCGGTCCATGACTTCGTTCCACCAGCCTTCTTGTGTGTGACGGATCTTGCGATGACGCACGAGCCGCCGGCGCCGTGCGCGCTGCGTCGATGCCAAGGACGACGACGACGACGACGCATTATCGTCGAGCTGGGCAAAGCTGCCCGCGTAGAGCCAGCCTTCGTCGTCGCAGCCAGCAAGGAGCACGTCGGGCGACCACTCGTCGAGCCACGCGCTGGTCGACGACGTCTTGTCGGGCAGCGCTTCCAGCGGCAGGTTCGAGTCGCCAGCCACGTACGGCGGCGTCGTGCCACCGGCGCGAGCCCATAAACCGTCGGTCAAGGCTTGGTTTTCCCACACTTCGTCGCGGACGTAGACGTAGCTGTGGTCGACAGTCGGCGCCTCGTCGTCCTTGTCGTCGTTGGCCGCTGCTTCGTCGTCATCGGTTGTCTCGTAGACCATGGGGTCTGGAATCGTCTGCAGATGCAAGAGCGAGGCGAGCGAGTCGTCCGAGCTGGACGGCACGACGTCGCTGATGGGCTGCACGACGAGCGCGGCTTCGCACACGGCGCAGCGCGGGCGAAAGTCGGCGGACGTCGGTTTGAGGATGAGCGCGAGCGACTCGGTCGTCGGCGGCGGTAGCGTCGGCTCGGGCGCGGGGAGCAACAGCGGCTTGGCACGTGGCACGGACTGACTCAAGAGCGAGGGATTGAAAGAGCCCATGCGGTTCTTCGTCTGCTTGCGCCCAGGCGCCGACTGCGTCATGAGGTCGCGCATGTTGGGCGTCGATGTCGACGAGCGCATGCCCGAGCTATGGCCATGACTGCGGCTCAGCGACTGCTGGATGGAGGGCGTCGTCGACATAGACGTGTTCCTTCGCAGCGCCGAGGCCGCCGGAGCGGTGTGGCCCATGGCGACATGGCTGCGCGACCCGGTCTTCCTCGGCGTCGTCGGGTGCATGCTGCTCGTCCGTCGTCCGCTGCCGACAGTACCAAGCGAAGGAGGCCGCGAATATGCGTTACCACCCCTGCGCTCGTCTCTCATTGGTTGAAAGTCACGCTTCGAACTTCGAGTTGCAGCGTCACACGAACTTCCCAGCAAGCTATTTGCACGCCGTTTGGATGCGCTCGCTTCAAAGCAGCACTTTTCTAAACGGGATAGCCGAATGTAGCGACGAGTGTACAATGATATTGTACATGTTGTACAATTCATGTATAGGCATAAAGGGCTAAAAAGGACGTGGAAGTCACTTGCCAGCACCCATCGCGCCCCAAGGTTGGGTGATTCTAGATCGGCGCCTCACAAGCACAAAACAATACCAGTACTCGCCATGCTGGAAGTGTAAGTTACTGTCCTTTTCGACTAGAATCATTCATTTTGGAGTATAATACACTGTATAGAGCTGGGTCGATGTTGGTCGCCGCTGTATGGACGACTGCGTGCGACACGGTTTTGGCGATGCGAGGTTAGGGTCTCTCGCGATCCCGTCATATTTCGGACGCTATACGTGCATCCACACCGGTTGGCACACTTGATATTCTTCAAGATGAATCGAATGGGGTTATCATGAAGAATCCAGAGACGAGGAAGCTGGCGACTACGATACGATGATGGAAGCCACATACGCGCGCACGGCCTCGTGCCATCCTTGAGCAGCCGCGGCACGCACAGGCTCGTCGATGACACCACCAAACGATTCGACCAAGCAACGAAGCACGGCAATGTCACCACGATGCACAGCGCGGGAGATGAGATTGGGTATCGCGAGCGGTTCGCGCTCCAGCAGCTCGTCACGAACCAGATCCATCCACGCACGATGCCCGATCGCTTCCGCGCACATGTACATCTCGACGACTTCGTCTGGCCGACCTCGCCAGCAGTGATGCGTGAGAGTATAGGTGACGACGTCGACTTGGTTCTTCTTCATGGCCTCGCAGAGCGCGAGGTTGCTGCACGAAAGCGAGCCCACTTGGTCGAGGTACCGTAGCATTGGCAAATGGTCTTGCGTGATGGCCTCGCTCATGGCTTCCGGCCACAGAGGGTGGCCAGTCGACACCAGCACTTGGAGTACTTCGAGATGGCCGTTGCGCGCAGCCCACTTGGTGGCCAGGCCATTGACATAGTCGCCGCCGCCGCGGGCCAGTGCACCGCCGTTCTCGGGAAGGAACGAGCGACACAGCCCGCCGATGCGATTCGTCTCGATGACGTGGGGCTGCTTTGAGAGGTACGTGACAATGGCCAAGTCGCCGACGTAGGCTGCCGTTGCGAGCGCGGCTTGGGTCATGGGCACTTGAAAGACTTCCAGTAGCCAGCGCACAACGTGCAGATGTCCGCGCGCCGCGGCCAGCGCCAAGGCATCCTCCGAGCAGCCATCCTGGCGATGGGTGTGGAGCCACTGGAGCACGTGCAAATGGCCGTTGTAGCTCGCAAAGGCCATGGCGCGCGCGGATGCGCACTGAAGCCGACTCGCATGCAAGAGCTCCAGAGCTGCCACGTCACCGTAAAACGCGGCAAGGTCGATCGCTTTGCCATTCTTCCAGTCGCCAAATGATGGCAGCCACTCGTCGTCGCTGTCGGGCGGCGCGTGCTCGGCGCGAATGCCATTCAGGACATAGGCTAGCATCGCGTTGTCGTGGCGGGTCACAGCCCACTCGAGCAAGGTCTTGGCCATTTTGCAGTACCCGCGGCTGTAAAAGTACTGCAGCTCGTGAAAGCCCAGTTTCTCTTTTGTGAGGTATTGGATGGCCTCGGACGAGAGGAGGGACCGCGCCATGGCCGCATCGACCGCGTCCACGTGCGTCGTACCACGGACCGAGTGCGTTTGGTACTTGATATATGGGATCGAGTAGCGCAGATATGGATCCATGCCTTCGGTACGATGGTCGAGGAGAAACCGGACGATCGCCGCGTGGCCATTTCGCACCGCCGCGGTCGCCGCAATCTTAGTACAGCCTTCGGTTCTCGCTTCATGTAAAAAAGCGACAGCGTCCAAGTGCCCGTTCATGGCTGCACCGTCCATCGCAGCTGTCGTACACGAGACACCGGCGTCGTGCAGCCACCGCAGCAGCGTCGCATCGCCCGCCTTGGCCACGAGGTCCATCATCGTCGGCGTCGCAAGCTCGGGGTAGCGCTCATAGAGAAAGCGCAGAACGGCGCCTTGTGACGCGGCCGCCGCGAGCTCGAGCGTCCTGGATGTCACGAGCCCGGGCTTGTGTCGGAGCCAGAGCGCGACGGCGGCTACGTTGCCTTCGACAACCAAGAGGTGCAAGGGCAGCGCCGCGTCCACCTTCTGAGAGCGCCGGTTGGTCGCCATGAAGAGGGCGTGGCTCAGAAGCATTGTCGCCGGGTTCCGGTACCGCTGAAGGTACGGCAGCGAGGCAAACCGCGTTGGGATGTTGACGAGGTACTTGATTTCGGTATAGCCGGCGAGCGTGACGGCGTTCGTGAGGCGCGGTATGTCGGCGATCGCCTCGGGTAACCCGCTCTGGTGCGCGACAATGATGGCGAGGAGTTGCCGCGATCCGAGGACGACGCTCGCAGCCATGCTCATGTAGTCGTCGGCCGAAAATCACCCAATGAATATCACCTGTCCACATGAAACCTTCGGTCTGCACACATCCATTTATAGAGGTAACCTTTTGAGACCCTATATCGCATTCATTGTGTTACCGGTACGCTCGAGGCCACCATATTTCCGGGAAACGTCCATATTTCCGGGAAAACGTTTGAACAGAATGTGGCGCCACGTGCTCCTCTGCTGCCACCTATAAAGTCAGGTTTGATGCGCATACGGATAACGGCGAAGAGGCCTCACGGTCCAAGGACGACGCACGCTAGCGGCCTTTCTCGGCAGTCATTTGGGACCCACTCTCCAGTCGAAAACCGAACGTCCAAGTGCCCGTTCATCGCCGCACCGTCCATCGCAGCTGTTGTGGAGATCGCACCGACATCATGCAACCAACGCAAGAGCATCCAATCGCCCGATATGGCCACGAGGTCCATCATCTTTGGCGTCGCTAGCTCGCGATTACGTTCAAAAAACAGGCGAGGAATAAGACCTTGGACGCGGCCGAGTTCAAGGGTTGCAAACGTGATGAGTGCGGGGTTAGAAAGAACAGCCATCGACCCAACGAGCTGCAATACATATGGCTCAATTGTTTCATGCGTTGATTGGTCCTACATTGTAATATCAAGAACGGCAAGTTGCGAAGGCATTTCAACAGCACCACGATTTGTAGGAACTAGCGAATTGAATGAATTTCGTTCGATGTCTATTACGTCCACGTTTCCTCGTCGACCCCGTCCCGCAGACGGGAGTCATCGTACACCTCGTACTTGAGGGTCACGTCCCCGATCGCGTGCGCCGACGGCACCGCTGGTCCTAGCGTCGCCAAAAACCCAAGCACGCGCTTTCGGCGCCCTTCTTGCGCCGCGCTCTCAACGGCACTTGTCCATGCAAAGCCGTGGGTCTGCACCAGATACCGTAGCATCTCGAGGTGACCATGGGCGGCCGCACGCACCAGCATGAGTTCTTGCACCCGTCGCGGTAGATCGAGTTGAGAGTCGAGGGCCAAGACCTTGGTCACAAGGTCCAGCATCGCCACATCGCCGCGTCGGGCCGCATGCACGGAGAGAATGCGCACGTCGATGGCGCGGTCACCGGGATCGTCAGTGGTCGCCCATCTTTTTTGGCTAAAAAGACCATGGGCCACGTCGATCGAGAGATGGCGCACGGCCATCAACAGTGCGTTAAAGGTCGAGCAGCGCTGGCCAAAGACGTCGCGGAGGTAAACCACGATGTGAACGCGACCATACCGGACAGCGTCGTGCATGGCCACCGACGACACCATGCAGCCATGTGCAACGAGACACTGCAGCACCTCGAGGTGACCATGCCGAATGGCCCAGTCGGTTGGACGGCCGTCAAAGTACTCGCCCTTAAAGTTGCTGCTACAGCCATGCACCGACGGCACACTCGCGTAGCAACAGCATCCGTGGCCGACGCGGTCAGAGGCGGCAGCGTTGGGCAGCTTTTGCATGAGGTACTGTACGAGCGGCAGGTTGCCAGTGGCCGCCGCGGACGCGAGTGCGGCGTTGGTCGGCGGCAGGCCGTAGACATCCACGAGCCAAGAGACGACGTCCGTGTGGCCACGCACCGCGGCCAGGACCACCGCGTCGCCCGAACAGCCGTCCGTTCGGTGTGCATGGAGCCATTGAAGCACGTGCAAATGACCGTTGCAGGCCGCGTACATCATCGTACGCTCCGTGGCGCACCGAAGCCGACTGGCGTGGAGCAGCTGGATCGCGGCAAGATTGCCCAGGGACGCCGCCGAGTCCGTGGTGGTGCAGTCGTCCCAGCGAATTGGGTCCTCGTAGCAATCGCCATACTCATCGTAGCCGTCACCGTCATCGAGTGCGTCACCGTCGTCGTATGTGTCGTCGTAGGCGTCGTCGTCGTCCAGCGGACACCACTCGCCGGCATTGTTTGCTCGACAGGACGCGTGTTCGTCACACAATATAGCGAGAATGTACGTGAGCATCGCATGGTCTTGCAACGTGACAGCCAGCTCGAGCGTCAACGGTGTCATCTTGAGGTAGCCTTTGGTGTAAAAGTGCTGCAGCGCCGGCAGTCCGAGGCGTCGGATAACAGGCGATAGGTCGACTTTACATAAGGTCGCTGTCGCAGCCGCCAAGTCGATGGCCTCGATGTACATGTACTTTGTGCCTGGAACACTCTGTGTTTTATGGTTGCGGTCCGGCGACATGAAGCTGAGCGTGGGCTCGATGCCTTCCTTGCAATGGCTGAGGAGAAAACGAACAATGTCGGCATGACCATGGACGACCGCTGCTGTCGCTGCCACGATCGTGCAGCCTTCGGTTCTCGCTTCGTAGAGAAAGACGACGACGTCCAAGTGCCCGTTCATGGCTGCACCGTCCATCGCAGCTGTCGTACACGAGACGCCGGCGTCGTGCAGCCACCGCAAGAGTGAGAGGTCGCCCGACATGGCCACGAGGTCCATCATCGTTGGCGTCGCAAGCTCGGGAAAGCGCTCCAGCAGCAGTCGCAAAATAAGGCCTTGGGACGACGCCGCCGCGAGCTCGAGCGTGCCCGATGTGACGAGCGCTGGCTCGTGTCGAAGCCAGAGCTCGATGATCGCGATGCTGCCTTCGACGACGCAGAGGTGCAGCGCCAATTCTGGGTCCATTGCGTGAGGCGACACGCGAAGCACCGTCGCCGGCAGCTCGGCCATCGCGTCCAGGTGTCGTTGGAGGTACGGCAAGGAAGCAAATCGCGCTGGTATGTCGGCGAGGTATCCCACTGTATTGCTGATTGGCCGGAGTTGGATGGTATCGACGAGATTCTGGACCTCGACGAGCGCCTTTGGCAGACCGTCTTGGTGCGCAACGATAGCACCGACGAGGTCCGGGGACCGAAGCACTCATGACGCTGCCATGCCAATGACACGGGTTGTTGTAGACTGTCAATTTCGTTTGCCAACGAGACGGCACGCGTGCTCGTACTGTCGCTGCTGAATATGTTACCGTGTCAAATCCAGCAATGGGTCGCGCGTCCAATCCAGAAATTATCCGGATCCGGAGTTTTTGATAGGCGAACTTCCAGCGCCACCGGTACAAAGTAGCAGCCGCATCCAGACAGCCTGGACGCGTTCACCATGCATTTTAGTTGGTGTACAGGCAAGTGCCCCCAACAGCACGCCCCTCTCTGCGTCCTTCGACTGTAGTGCTTGCATCTGGCAACGAATCTTCGAGCACGGCTGGTGAATCAATGACCGTCACTTTTTGGAAAAAAAGTCGCACCGATGACGTCACTTGGACACACAATCATCACTGTGCCATCCAGCCTCGCTGAGTGTCGTCGTCGCCGCCACCAAGTCGACAGCCTTTCAGCGCACGCTAAACGTTTGAGATCTGGGTGGACCCCCTCCGATCGATGCTCGAGCCGAAAGCGACCAATGTCAGCATGGCCATCGCCGCCACGATCGTGCAGCGATGCCTTCGGTTCTCGCTACATGTAGAAAGGCGACGACGTCGTTCACGGCTGCACCGTCCATCGCGTCGGTTGTGCAGATCGCACCGGCGTCGTGCAGCCAATGCAAGAGCGGGAGGTCGCCCGCCATGGCCACGAGGTCCATCAGCGTCGGCGTCACGACAGCAGGCATACAATGGGGCCTTGAGACACCGCGAGCTCGAGCGTCGCTGATGTCACCAGGCCGCGTCGCGAAGCCATCGCTGGACGATCGCCAGGTCGCCTGGACAGTCGAGAGATGCAGCGCCAAGGCCAGATAGGCCTTGGTCGGCGACACAAAGAGCGCGTGCGTTGAAAGCGTGGACGTCGGGTCTGCGTACCGCTGCTGCAGCGCCGCCATGTGCGCCGGAACGTTCACGAGGTGCCGGTCGCGACCGAAGCTGGCTGGCGTGAGCTGAATCGCATCGGCGAGTGTCTGAACACCGGCCATCGCTTCGGTTAGACCGTCTTGGTAGGCGGTGATAGCAGCGAGGAGGTCGAACGAGCACCGCCGCCATCAATGCCAAGTGTCGTTCGGTTGTATCATCCGGATCCGGATAAGGATAGAAGGACTATGGCGATCTTCAAGAGCCACTGACTTCTACTTTTTTAAACATCTTCCCGCCACGCCACGTAGTTCTTGATATGACCGCGGAAGCGCAAGAGAAATCGCACCTGGACTACTTGGTGGTACATCCGTGCCCACGCTCATCGACAAAAAACGTTCAACATCCTTCATGACGGGCTGACCTGTAAGGTACCAGTACCTGATGCGTGGAAGAGGCACACTTGTGCGTGGGCTCAATGCGATATCAGACGCACCATTGCAACCTCCCCGTGTATATACAAAGCGATGGCTGTAGAAACACAGAAAGGAAGGGTCGACGGTGGCGCTTGCGGTCGGCTACAGTACGCTGCACCCAACCGCCCGCCGCGAGAACTAGGTACGAGCATTTCAACTCGTTCCAAAGTAGCGAGCCGTGCCACACCAAGTCGCCAAAGCCCTTTCCTTTTCTCGAGTTGGAATGCAGTGATATTGTGACTAGAAGATACTCTCGTTGGACAGGTGCCCCCGTCTCGCTCGCGGAACTCTTCCCTTTTACAATAATTCGAGTCGTCATCGTCGTAGTATTAATAGTTAATAGACTATTTCTTGAGTACTACTAGTAGAGTGTTTAGCTCGAGGAAGTAGCGAGCAAGCGGCACCCGACGTAGGTGCGGTGCAATTTGGCGCCAATCCTGGACACCGTGGATTGGCTACAACGGTATAGATACTCGCATGTGATTGGTTGAATTTACATTCCAATATTTCAACGGGCTACCCAAATGCTCGGCATGTCACAGGCTTGTCCAGTTATAACATCTCTGGATGGTGTTACACGTGCCATCGAATTGGCAACAACCAGCATTTTGCTCTCTGGGAAGCAGCCGGACGTGTCGAAGCTAGCTCGATCGTCTTGTCCACTAACTCGTCCTCTACCGTACTATGCGCCTATATGTAGCTCTTACGCAAAGCCAAGCTGCTCCTATCTCAAGTCGTCACCTCTGACAGGGAGACGCCGCCGCACCAAACATCAAAGCATCACGGGTCTTCAGCTAAATAGGTCTTCTCTTCTGTAGAGTGCAGGGACGTGGTTGATACCTGCACACGCATTGGATGGTCGAGTGGTCCTGCCGGATAATCGGACGTCGCCAGGCCACGTGCGGCTTCATCGCGATCGACTGAGAAAGGCGCGCAACGCGGTTCCAAAAATTTGTTATAACCGCTCTTTTACCACGTGTAACAGGTGGAATGGAGTTGAAATTTTGCAAGGTTGCAATGTTTGCTGTCGTGTCATTTTCACATTTGCCTCCGACCAGCAGCATGCGACGTTGGTCTGCCACCGCCTTGGTCGTCTGCCTCCTCCTCGCCATCAGCGGCGTCGCAGCAAGCAACGAGACCACACCCACCGTGACGACCATCGCAACGCCGACCACCGTGACGCCGCCACCGACAACGACTCCGCCGACGACGACCGTGCCGCCGCCGACGACGACAACGCCCGTGCCGACAACGACAGAAGCGCCCAAGACACCGGCGCCCACGACGACACTACCGCCTTCAACGACGGCCCCGCCCACGCAACCGCCGTCAACGACGGCGGCACCGACACAGGCCCCTGCCACCGCCGCGCCCGTGACCAACGCACCCAAGACAGCGGCCCCAGCCACGCAGGCGCCAACTGCGCCGCCATCGACGGAGACGCCGACGCCGAATTCGTCCGAAACGACGCCAACG